TATATCAGTGCATGTATCAATGAGGGCATGAGTCTGTCAGTCAAAAAAGTGACCCTGACACGAATTGGGGGGTCAAATTTAGATTTTGGGGGTGACCGAATTTAGTCGTGCCTAGGGCAGCACCAATCCAAAATACACCACTGCATGGACACGGTATGTAGAGCATGTGATGGGAAAATGTTTTCAAAACAAAAATAGATGCAGAAACATATGTTTGCATAATTATACTGGAAACTAAAGGAAAAAATAACTGTCATGGGATTATATGTAGAAAGAAGACAAACAAACATACCAGGGTAAATGGTGTCTTATTGACATTGATAAAGGAATGCAAAACCATGAACAGATGCCTGATATATGTATATAAAGCAACAACAATGAAAGCATAGTGAGATGGATACTGTATTTTTTTTTAATATAGGATGCCGTTTTTACTCCAAAGCTTTTTCCACATTGCAACTAATTGCATTTGGTACTCCTATATAAATATATATTACAATTGAAATACGAACAAGCAGGCAAAGTAATGTAGGGATTGTGGCTGGACTATACTTTTGCCACTTCTGTTACAATGTAAATTGCAGATCTAACCATTACAGAATGTCTTATTTAATTAATATTCATATCTATTCTAGCATAACCATGGATATTATTTTGTGTGCTATATTCCAGTGATTAAATGGAACAAATTTTTACTTTCTCGGAATGCAAGATAGTTCCCAGGGGACAAAGCAAACCATTCATTGCATTTAGGTGGTAATTATGAGGACAATACAGGGGAAAATGAATCCTTTATGTGCTCAGAAACTAAAGCTATTAACTTGAAAAATGACTACTTAGACATAACTTGCCTGTATTCTTCTTGAGTGGAATGCCTTTTAGAACCTATATGTGATGTGGTTCTGGTCAGAGACCACATCCATCAAATGTGGTATGTCAGCAGAATTTTGTCTGAAAATTCAGTGTCAGTGTTTACATTGAAAAGCATGCAGGGACAGGATATAGACTTCAGAACAACTACATTAAGCTTTAGTGGTTCTGGTGACTATAGTGTCCCTTCAAGAATTGTATTTTTGGCGTTGAAAAACCTGGCTCCTAACTTTTTTAGCTTGTACCTAGATGCCAAGCAAATTTGTCAAGCCTTGCTTAAAATGTTTGGATATTCTGATGAATTTACCACTTGTAATATTTCAAATGACATGGTCTACAGCTTTTCTTTATTAGAATTTATATAAAGCAGGGCTTGACAAATCCCAGACAACAGGACGCCACGGCAACTAGAAATTTCGCCCTGACACCTGCGATTTGCCTAGTTAGTGTGGCCGCTGAGTGAGCTTTCATGGCGGCCGTCAGGGGGAATATTGGGAGCATGGAGGCGGACACCCGCCCGTGAGACCTTGGAGACGGCTACCTGCCTGTGGGACCATGGAGGCAGATTCCTGGCTGCGGGAGAATTGTGGGTGGTGAGTGAGGGAGCAGTACTCTGCCTGCAGCTGCTCTCTGCTCCCCCTGCTGTCTAATGATGCTGGGAGCCGGAATATGATGTAATTCCGTCCCGGGCATCATTACAGAGGAATTGTGTTTGGTGGTGTGTGTATGTGTTGCACTGCTTTTGGTATTGCATGTGAGGCTGCTTATGGGGTTGTGTGCATGTATGTGGATTGTCAGTGTGTCTTTGTGGGGACTGTGTGTGTTTGTATTATTTGTATGAGGAGGAGGCTTCTTTTGCAGCTCTGTGTATATCTAGAGGTGTGGTTGGATTCCCTGGTTTCCAGGGACCATGTCAACGGTACAGGTACAGGTCGACCAGCAGAAGCTGCGATAGCTGCTGCGGGCTGCTCTACTCTAGTGCGGATTCCCGTTCTCAAATGCTGGGAGGAAGTGATCTTAGATCAATGTGTAACTAGAGGGATGTCACTCACCACCTGCAATCGCTGCTCGGTTTATCCAAAGTCTCACTGGGACTCCTGACAGGCCAGAGCCTGTTTGTCTCTGGCAGCCATGAGTGCCATGCATGACATATATGCCATAGGTTACTGACCCCTGACCTAGAGCATTCATTCTTTCTAGTTGGACTATCATTTTATCATAGTCTTCCGCATGTACGTTGAATGTGGTGTTTTTATATTTTGACCTACAATGTGAAATTCACTGGTCAATTCCCAGCAATAATAAGTTGGAATAAACCGGATTCTATGCAGGAACACTGAAACATACCAGGAGTAGTCTGATGCTGTAAGTACAAGCATATGTATTGCAACACACACTGGACTGGAGGAACAAACAAGGAGAACCTTACACGTTCCATGCCTAAAGGCACTCATAAATTACAAGCTAGCTCATCTGTTTGAACAGAACCAGTACCAATCTTGCTTTGTTTTTTTTATAAAGTCTTTATTTATGTAATTTTTCAATTTTTGTTTGTCAAGGTAAGAGATTACAGAATAAAGAGTAAGTACTAAGGTTAAAGAGCATATCAATACAGTCAAGTGGTGGCAAAATACATCATGTGGCATTCATACTTACAAAAAATGATTCTGTATAATAGGAGTTATAAGGATCCTCAGCATTGGTAACAGTTTGTCAGTGTTCGTAGTTTCAGTGTAGGGGTAGATATACCTACCAGATTGTGAGGTAGGTATTGTGGGGGTGGGGGGAAGCAGAGGTATAAGCTGTGAGGACCCTCTACTCTCCGTTGTTATTGCAAGCCCATGGGGAGTTATGTGCCCTCGCTAGCTTTTGCGACTAGGCTAGTGTTCTGAGGTTCTGGAGATCGATAAGAGGATTTAGCGCTCTGATGCCACCTGTATGTGGCAGGGTAGGATGTACATGCCATTGCTGGTAGGGTATGAAGGGGCATGAAAGTTCTGAGTCTGGGCCATTGTTACTTTTAAGAGTTAAACAGAATAATACACACGTACCATGTTCTCCACAGTTTCCATTTTTAAAGTAAATGAAAGGGTTACTTGAAGCACCATGACCACTTCAGTGACTTAACATCTTTGTGCTGTCTGGAGTCTGTATGTGCAGCATTTCAGGAAGAATAGCTGCACACACAAAGATATAGCACATTACTGCCAAGGGTATAAATCCACCTCCATGAGGGTTACAGGTGGTTAATGTTAAATCTGTGCATATTGGTCGTCTATTATCAGCACGTGCTGACAAACACAACCAATGGTGGCATGGCCATTCCCCTCCATGATTTTCAAGTCTTCCCATAAGTCTGTTCTCTTTGACGCCTCTCCCCATCCAGTGAAGAGGAATGATGTCACCAGAGGAGGATTGGGCTGAGAACTTGGCTTTCACAATGGATCTCAGGTAAGTTTATTTATTTAACTTTCTTTGGGATGCAGGGAACCATGACAGCAAGCGTTTAACCAAGAACATTTTATTAAACTCTTTATAACCAGATATTATAGTCGGATAGTAAATTGTTTAAAAGGGATATGTACTCATATGAAGGAGACTGAAGCAAAAACCTGCTGCTATATGTTTTGCACAGTTATGGTCCAATCTACGAATAACACAGATATTTGCGTATAATACAATAGATGTAAATAGTCACCACAACCTGTAAGTGCAAGACATGAAAAGTAGAGGCTTCTGTAACTCGTTGAACTGTTACTGGAAAACCCAGTTGGCTTAAAATAGTATTTTTTCTTTTGTGTTTGTTTATGCATTGCATTTGTGGATTTTTCTTGAATCAATAAATATTTAAAACAAATTATCATGAATTTACTCAGCAAATATTGAGATAGATGTTATATGTAAAATATTGGGGAAAGAATTTTGGGACATTATTAGGAATGAACTGATTGGTGAACTTATCTTACTTCCCAGCGGTACTGATTTGTTCTCTCATATCACAAAACTGGGGACAACTGTCTGTTTACCTCTTGCAGCTAACAGACCATCTCTCAGTTAAAGGAAAACTGTAGCGTTTGGAATACATGTTTGTATTCCTAACGCTATGGCGTTACCCTACCTATTTACCCCCCTCCCCCCATGAGGATTTAAAAGTTAGAATTTAT